ACCCCAAACCCTACACCCTCAAGCCTGAACCCTAATCCCTAAACCCTCAAGCCTGAACCCTAAACCCTACAACCCTCAAGCCTGAACCCTAAACCCTCAAGCCTAAACCCTAAACCCTCAAGCCTACACCCTAAACCCTAAACCCTGAACCCTGAACCCTAAAGCCTCAACTCTAAGCCTTCCAGGCCCGAGAACCGCCTCGTACCCTTCGTTGCACGCACCGCGCCAGAGCTCTAGGAGGTGCCGCCTCCCGCATAGTCCGGCATTGGATTTAGGGTTTAGGGTTCGAGTTTAGGGGTTTAGAATCTACCTAGAGGCTCCATAATAGTTCCGTCTGGCGGTTTATGTTTAGGATCCTATAAGGTAATCCCAAAAAGGAACTACAATGGAGCCCATGGGTAGAGTTTAGCAGTTTAAGGGTTAACGTTTAAGGTTTAGGGCCCAGAATCTCGTGATTGGGGCGAAGGTTTAGGGAAGTAAGGGTTTTAGGGTTAGGGTTTGGGGCTTTAGTAATTCTAGGGTTTAGGCTTGAGAGTTTGGTGTCATTTGGGGGTTTATGGCATCATTGTCCGAAGTTCTCCGTAACCACTTGGCTCTGGTAGAAGCTCTGATGGGCAGAGCGGCAAGCCTTGCCTACCCTAAACCCTAAACCCTAAACCCTCTCTGGCCGAGGTGGGGTGTGAGGCGCTAAGGTTTCAGGTTTCAGGGTTCGGGGAGGGCTCAGGGTTCCGATGTTGCAGCTCTGAAGAAGGTCCTAAGTAGTGTTCTGAGGGGATACTTCCCTGAATCATAATAGTAATTCCGAATATAGAAACCCTACAGTCTACTATTTAGGTACTTAGGACCCTCTGGGACTTGAGAGTCGTTTAATGGCAGGGTGTCGACGGCATGCTGGCCAAGCTTACGCCGAACCCTCAACCCAAACGTCTCTGAAGCCCCATCCCTAATCTCCCAAGCCTGCTTCACCTGTACTACGCCGCCGACGCCCTAAACCCTAAACATCCCTACACGTTGTAGCCCTAAACCCTATTGCCCATGTAGCCCTAAAGCCCTCACCCCTAAACTTGGCCCTAAACCCTGAGCCCGATAGACCTCTGCAGCTTGCGGGGCAGCTCTAGACGAGACTTCAGAGCCCTCTCGTTTTTCAGGGCTTCGGCGGTTTCTCTTTGGTTAGGAAGTATTCGAGTTTAGGGGTTTAGAATCTACCTTAGAGGCTCCATAATATAGCTCCTTTTTGTGGTTTACGGTTTATATTTAGGATCCTATAAGGTAATCCCAAAAAGGAGCTTCCATGGAGCCTTTGGGTTAAGCTTCGGGAGTTTCAGGGAAGTCTAGCGGGGAGAGTCTAGAGATTTAAAGCTCATGAAATGAACCCGGAGACAGGTGGGTCCGGGGGCCCGCGCATGAACAAGCCACCTGAGCGACGGGATTACACTAGGCACCTTAATAATTAGAACAATGACTCTAGGGTTTGGATTTGCTTTAGTCTAACGACCATTATATGTCGAGAGAGAGAGAGAGAGAGATATATATATACATACACACAGATATATATATATATATTCAAACCCTTATATGAGCGGGAACAGCATGTACAGCGAGGAGGATGGTACTGTTGAGAAGGCTGGCTGCACGGCTACACGACAGCCACTATCCTACACCGAAGGCCTTCAAATGTGATGGTGCAGCGGGCGCTTAACCCTAAACCCTAAACCCTGAACGTTGGATGGAAACTTTCCCGCAGGCATATCTGCACGTTCGACGGCAGAGCTGCCAGGAAACATGCTCCAAAACACCCGAGGCCCGACTTGATTTGCATTCAAATCTTAAGTGTCGACGTAAACTAGACCTTCAATTCAGCCCGACCTTAAACCCAAAACCCAAAACCCTAAACCCGAAACCCTAAACCCTTACCTTAAACCCAAAACCCTAAACCCTAAAACCCTACCTTAAACCCAAAACCCAAAACCCTAAACCCTACCTTAAACCCAAGACCCTTACCCGCATAAGCCTGGAAATGCAGAGATCGGGCTCCTGAAGTGTCACATCCAGCTGTCCGAGAACTCAGAACTCCGAACCACTCTGACTCTAGGCTCCACAGTACTTCCCTTTTGTAATTTTATATTAGGGCCGTTTAGGGTTTAGGGTTTTTGGGGCTTATGGGGTTTAGGGATTAGGGTTTAGGGTTTAGGGGTTTAGGGTTTAGGGATTAGGGTTTAGGGTTCAGGGGTTTAGAATCTACCTATAAGGTCATCCCCGAATTGAACCACAATGGAGCCTATGGGTAACTCTAATCTACGAATAACCCAAAAATTTGAAGAACTGCGGCCTAGGGCGCACGCATCCGTGAGGGTCCACACGCCCATGTAGTGCCGGGTGTACATCCCCAAATAGTAGGATGCCCATAGGCCCCTAAGTAGTTCCTTCTTATGGTTTACATTTAGAATCCTATAAAGTAATCCCAAAATGGAACTACTTAGGGGCCTTATGGATCGAGGATACTTTCTCAAATGGGCTTGAGGGCAACAGCGCCGGTTGCGGGCTAGGAGCTGGGCCTCAAGGTGTTCACGGCTGTTGTAGGGTACGCAGAGAGCCCAATACCCCTAATGAAGGAATATACCTTAAATCATAATATTCAGGGCCCTATAATTTAAGGTATATTCCTTAATTAAGGGGTATTGGGCTCTCTGGGTATGTGAATTCTGCGATCGAATGGCTCAAGTCCCAAGAAGTCGGGTATAGTAGCAGAGTTGGATCCCGCCACCCTCAACCCTAGACAGGATTCCGACAATGCTCCAGGCCAAGCATTCGAAATCCTGAAGCCTGCTCCCTAACCCTACCAAAGAAGCTATCGGATATGGTCCTAATATAGCACCCTAATTAGTAGGATTCTTATTATAAGGACCCCAAAATAAGGTACCCCTGATTTTCGGAAAGTCCCATATTTAAATACGGCCTCAACTCTCCACCGGATGGACCTGGCACCACATAAGCCTGCTGTCACTGTAACCCACGAAAAGCCCCGGAGTCCCATGCACGCCGCCTACGAAGGCTTCAATCCCCCTAGTAGACTCTCGAGTCCTAGGCCCAAGGTCCTACAAAGATCCGGAAACCGGCACTGAACTTGAAAACCGCCGAAGCTGGGGCATCCGGCTAGTCTTCTCGCCCTGCATAGCGGCAGCAGCCGAAGCAAGGGGTATGAGGGCTTTCTCGGTTGCAGATAGGTATCCTCTAAGTGCTATAGGCCCAGACGAGTCCAAACCCTGCAGAAAGGCTGCATCCACCAATTGGGCAACGTGCCCGAAATCCCACAGCAACGAACATGCGCCGAAAAGGAATTCCTAAACCCTGAAGCCTAAAACCCTGGAGCCCTAAACCCTAACCCCGAATCATTTGGCGTTTGGGCTGTGGTCTCGGTTGTGGGTTTAACGGCTGGCCCGGTTTTTTTTGTTTTGCTTCTCCCGGTTCCCGGTTTGGGCCTCTGGTCACGTAGGGTTTAGGGGTTATAGGGCAAGCTTAGGGTTTACGGTTTGAGGGTTTAGGGTGTGTGGTTTAGGGTTCAGGGTTGTCACAGGTGTCTGGGGTATAGCAACTCTAAACCCTAAACCCGGAACCCCAAACCCATCAACCCTAAACCCTAAACTCCCATACAACTTTGAAAGCACAGTGAAACTCGAACCCGAAAGTCCCGAACACCTAAGGAACCCGGACGGCTTAAACAAAAAAACAGAAGTCTGTAATGCAGGGGGCCCTTAATAATTAGATTAGGGATTTTGGGGGTATGTAATACTAGAATTAGAAGAAGGAGCCCTCAAATCCCCAAAACCTAAACCCTAAGGAGCCCTAACATGGCACAGTATTGATAATTATTTAAGCCCCCTGCAGTAAACCCTAAAGGAACACCTAACCTTGAAACTGAAACCCCTCAAAGCCGAAACCACAGGCCGCCCCTATACCCTAAACCCTAAAACCCTAAACCCCTAAACCCTAAACCCCTAAACCCTAAACCCTAAACCCTAACCCCTAAACCCTACACCCCGCCTGGGTCCTCAACAGACCTTCCACCAACCCTCGTCGGGCGACCCCCATCTTCTTGACTCGCGCCTGGGAAATGTTAAAGGGGAAATGTTAAAGGACTCCGCTTTCAAGCATCATTTACCGGTTTCTACAAGGAATCTTCGGCTTAAGGTTTAGTGTTTTTGGGCTTAGGGCTTTTGGTTCCCTCAGGGTTAAAGGTTCGTTTCGATTCAACGGCTTCCCTGAGGTTCATGCAGGGTTCGATGGTTCAGTTTAGAGACTTCTATAACCTATAACCTACGACCCACGACCCCTTCGGCCAAGCAGTTGCAAGATCGGTGTGTCACAGCTTTTGATTCAACCCTTAACAAACCTCGGAGTGATGGCGTGGCCGATCTCGGCAACAATGGCAACATGGTTGAGTTTTGCTGCGACGGATGACTCAGGGAACGGTTCAAACGACTGGCATGTTCCCTAAACCCTAAACCTCGCGCCTCGCCGCCCGATGTCTCAGGAGGAGCTCGTGATTGCAAAATCGCACTTTTTTGCGGTGGCCAACTCCGAATGAGCGATGCCTTTGGCCTCCGGTACAAGTCATTTACAAGTCATTTGTTTGGATAGACGATCACAACATACCAATACTGTACTATTCTATACCACGCTATACGATACGATACGATACGATACTATACGATACATTCCCGTAAATAGTGTTGTATAGCTCTTCGCAATGGATGTGCACGTGAGAATGCACCATGGGGGCAAAGCTTGCGCCCACACCATAGATCAAAGTGTTTGGTGCCAGTCTCAAGTACGAGAAGCATGACACACCTCGATACACAAAGCCGAATTGCGTTCAAAGATTGGCACAGCTAATTTTGGTAGCAGGCTTGGTGCAACAACATACATCAAGAGTGCACCTGGTAGAGTTCTACATCGGACCACTTGTGGATAATACAGCCTTACACAAACCTTGCTTACCTTCAGTTTGGATTGAAATCCACGTGATAATTCTCGCCATATCCCGGATTCACCTGCCAGTGGCAAATGGCACCGTTGAATGATTCCGCACGAACATCAGGCTGCGCAGGCCCCTTGGCCGTGATGACGAAGACACAAGCCATGCTGGTGAAGGTGGTAGCAGAGCTTGCAGCTAGCTGCAGCAAACAACCGTCGGCGTCGTCTTCACAGTCCTTCTTTCCTGCTGACTTCTCCATGAGCCGTCCAGAGCGATGATATTGGCTAGAAGGGCTCAGTAGATTCAAGGGCTCCGGCTCCGCACTGCTTCTGACCACTGTAAGGGTGTATGCAATGTCGAAATCGGCACGTGGCCCGAATGCGAAGCCAGCAGTAGGCTGTCCCGAAACCACCTCGAAGGTTGACAAGCTGGAACAGTTGGGCAAGTAAAATTCCGCAGCCGACCCCTCATTGATACCTGACAGCTCAGCCTCCCAGGTCTCTCGCATTGCAGTGACTGCGTGCCAGGTGTGAACTCCTGGACAGCGGGGTGCGGTGCACAGGGACCTCACACATAAACACATGCAAAGAACGCTGAAGCAGTTCAGGCTCGGACCTGCCATGTCTGAGAACAAGCTCAGGCTCAGTATCTCATAGAGTTTGCTGGCTGCAGAATGCTGCGGAGACAAGTCCACGGCTTGATGGCGCAGGAATACGATATGGTGGTTCCCGGACCCCAAGTAAGACACTGCACTCTGCTTCACCATGCCCTGATACCTCCGAAGACCCAGGTCGCATGCCACTTGCAGCGCCCAAAGCAAAGGTAAGCCGCTACATATCGGTGACGGGAGGTGTAGGGTGCCGTGAGCCCTGAACACCCATGTCCAAACTGACACGGCCTAATAGCTGGGGCCACAGCCAAGAACATCTGCGTGGAGTGCCAGAGGTCGAAGGAGGTCCGAAGCAGCGTGGACGCCTGCCAAAATGAGTGCGGAGGAATCCTCATGGACTCGTGCCATGCTTCTCAGAAGCTGCTAGAAGTATGACGGTTCAGTGTGTACAGGGTGTGTAACAGATAGATCGCTCTGTCCGTCCTTCTATAGGTCTGTAGGACTTCAGTGACTCCAGTTACGTAAACGGTCGGGATTAGGGTTTTGAGGGGATGAGGTAGGTTACTATGAAGCGACTAGAGCACAGTGTGAGCTGTGGGAGTGTGCCAGAGCCTGCAAAAAACGAACCACGCTGTACGCCCTCCAGGCGAAACAAAGAACTTGAACAGCGGGTTAAGGTTCAAGGTTTAGGCTTTAGGGTTTAGGGTTTAAGGTTAAGGCTTTGGGGTTTAAGGTTTCAGGTTTAGGCTTTAGGGTTTAAGGCTTTAGGGTTGAAGGTTTAGGCTCTACCAGCAGGGATTAAGGTTTAGATCATGGCTGCGGGCCTTTCTTTCGGCTGCCCGCCTCGTCTTGTGCCCAGATGGTTGCCACTCGTTGCAGGAGTGACTTCCCTGACAACGAGTGCTGCTCACGTAACATAATATGATACAGTATAATGTAGTAGAGTCTACGACTATATTCTGTTATAACTTGGACTGGAACCAGGTCCCCATTTTCATGGTCATCAAGGAATGGGGTTAGATGAATCGCGTTGCTACACCAATCTATGGCACGATATCCGACTCTGTCAGTAGTATAAGAGGCAAAATGATAGAGAATGCTTGGCCCTTGTTACCCCTTGCTGAAGTAGCAGGAAATTCCCAGCGCCTGTCCTCTGATTTGGAAGTCTCTGATTTTGGAAGTTGGGATTAGAAGGACCCTTGGGGGATATAGACGCTGTCAATAAGGTCCCCTTCAAGATAGCCATAAGTACGGTTAAGAAAGGTCCCCCTAAGGGGTCTCCCTAATACCTGAAAAGTTTAGGCTCTGACCCTAAACCTGCTCCTGGTAATAGTAAGGTTTAGGTTGAATCGCTCAGGGTCTATAGAGTTTAGCACTAACCATCCCACCCCCAGACAAACTGCTTCCCCGCAATACAAAAGTCGCATTAATTCGGTGAGAGTTTGAGAATACATACTATAGCTTCGAACATGCGCTTAATCCCTACCAATATCCACCAAACAGCACAAAGTAGCAGGGTACGGCCCCATAATTACAGGCAATCCCCACCCTAAACTCTCCAAAATCATCTTCCACCCGACATACTTTGGGGTTTCCGAACATAGGGGACCCTAGTATAGTACCCTAAATAGTAGGATCCTTAGTATAAGGACCCTAGAATAAGGTACCCCTAATGTTCGCAAAGTCCCATTTGTTAAGCATCCCTAAACCCTAAACCCTAAACATACACCTTCGGAAAACGAGGAGCTCCATCATCTCCCCCCTGCCCCACCACATGGAGACTGGGGCCTTCTAGGTTATGTCGGGCTTTAGAAGAGGAGTTCATGGGTTTAGGGATTTAGGGATTTAGGGGTTTAGGGGTTTAGGCGTTTAGGGTTTAGGGGTTTAGGGTGCAGGGGTTTAGGGGTTTAGGGTTTAGGGTTATTTGCTTTCATGTGGGGGCCTTGACCATGATCATGGGGCTGCCTCGCATACTATGGCATAGTTACATCCACGCCGCCAGAGAGGCGGATATCAGTACTAAGCCCCAAAAAACGGCCCCGAGGCTCCAAACAGAAGCTAGAAGATGGCTTGGGCTTTAGCATGTTTGCTTTCAGGGTTAGGGGTGTATAATTTTGACGACTAATTACAGGGAATACCGAAACCCGGAACATCACAAACTCTGACACCCACCAGACCAATGAGCCGAGCTGCGCATGTCGATCTTGCGATGGAAAAGTGCAGATTCCCGCGACCTGAAATTTGGGGTTTCAGGGTGAATTCCGGCAGGTTGCCGGTACCATAAACTCTAAAGTGGCCTAAAGCCTAGCTCCTCCTAAATGCTTGACAGCTAATCTTATGAACAAGCTCCAAAGCCCGCAAGAATCGCCGAAGTTTTAGGGAGGCCACATCAACACAGCATAATTCAACCGCCAAGAAACCCTACGAAGACCTTGTAAACACCCTATATTAGCATGTATCTAATCCAGTGAAAACCTGAAAAAGCTGATGGTCCAAAACTCCTGCAAACTCCTTTGTAACGCATAACAAAAAACCCAAAACCCAAAACCCTAAACCCTAACCCCAAAACCCTAAACCTTCTGGGATTCCCGGGCTCGGTAAGCGCTCGGCACCACTCTTGGAAAGCCCGTGCCTTAGAAAATTTGGTTCGGTTTAGGGTTTAGGGTTTAGGGTTTAGGGCTTAGGGTTTAAGGTTTAGGGTTTAAGGGTTTAGGGTTTAAGGTTTAGGGCCTAGGGTTTAGGGTGAATAAGTTAGTTCAATTCAGTGTCTACCTTTATAGGCTCCATTATAGTTCCTTCTTTGTGATTGAAGTTTAGGGTCCTATAAGGTAATCCCAAAAAGAAACTACAATGGAGCCTATGGGTAGTTTAGGGCTTCCGGATTTGCAAGCGGTTCTTCGACAGTTGTGACAACATTGCGAGGCATAGCATTTGCGTGCCTTCAGTACCTGAAGCGGCGACTTGACGATGTGCCCGGTGCATGCAGGCCCAACATCCCGATACAGCAACTCAGCTACCCTCTTGGCATCTTCACAAGCAGCATCCGGGGCAACTCGTGTTTTGTACTGGCTCACGGATAATTCCTCTTTCGCAGCGGGTAGCGCCATCGAGGTGTCCATGCCCTGCAGTCCACCAAATGTTTGGAGCCACTCCTGCTCATGCTGAGTGACGTCTTTTCGGCCACATATCCGTTGTGCCCAAGCCGGCGTCGGTAAGCCGGGTCGATTACATTATCCTGTAAAGGTCAGTATAGTATTAGTATTGTAGTATATGATAGGGCTGTCTGAATCCCCGCACGCCAGGGGCCAATAGCCCGCATATACGCGTCGACCCCCTCTTCGCTTTAAAGCTCGCCTCTCCAACCGCTTACTGATAGGCTGCTGGCGGCTCTTACACAAGGGCCCTTGCTGCCGTGGCTATCGTATACTCTTCAGGGTTTGGAGAAGAGAGTTGTTCGTTAGGAGTGTTTAAGCTCGCAGTACTTACTATCCAGGGGTCCTTGCAACAGTCTGATAACTTTTCTCCAGGATTTCTTCTCGGAGTTGAACCTGTGCCCCAACGCCTAACTGCGGTTCTGACAGTGTGCCTCGGGGATGTGGGGCTTTCTGATGTGGGTTCTTGGGGTCTACAGTGTTTCTTAGATTAGATTCGGGGGGTCACAAAGTAAGCAAGAATACTAACCATCAGTGATAAGGATTCGAAGACATGGACCGCATGAATCTTATGACCCTATGCCTATATCTGCATGGGGCCTGTTGTGGGTTAAGACTGGGGTCCCTCCTTTTCAAGGGAAGATAGCCTTAACACGAATCTTTCACTGCCCAATTCCCTTGCCCTGCCTTTCAGAAGTTGGCCGAAGACTTAAACCGAAGTTCAGTAGCCTGAAATCAAAACAGTACTCCAGCCATTTGCCATTTCTACTAGCATAAAACTCTCCACACCCTAGCTTGTAATCACCGAATCATGAGGCTCCTAGCACTGAGCCTTGGTGCACGCTATGGTAGTGGCTTGATGGCTGCAAAGGTACAGGGCCACGGAGTCTTGTTCGTGCACCACTAGCTTACCGTAGCAAGACGTGGTGGAGATGCCAGGGTTTAGGGTTTAGGGTTTTATACTGTCACAGAAGAAGATAACGCTTATGCGTGGACTTATATGATTCACCACCATCATTAACATGCTGCGTCCTTGAGTTACATGCTGCACAGGTGCTGACAGGAAGTGCTTGCGCTGCGTCTCGCTGAGAGCCTGGCGATGGCCTACTGTTAAGCTAGGTTTAGGTTTAAGTTGCCAACTGGATTCGGATCAACGGTGTCAACCCGGGTTGAGGTTGAGGATGCATATACTGCACAAGTAGATGGTGGCATCATCATTTGGTTCCTGGCTGCAGCTGTGCCAAAACACAAAACCGTAAACGTCCAAAACTCCACAAATCCTCCGACCGTGGCCCCTCAACCCTGAAAAAACAAACCCCAGCTGAAACCACTGAAAACACACAACCCTGAAAACAAAGGCAACCCCAAGACCAGAAACCCTGGCATGAAACTGGCGCAGGACTTGCTGAGACTTTACACCTCAAACATCCTTAAAAGAATGCCCCGGCCTCACCGGCGCCGAGGGTAAGTGCAGCCGACAAGGCCGTCCCTGACGGGGCAGTCTATACTTCCACTCACGCCAGCGTATGTTCAAACTACCAACCCCCTGAATAAAACACGGAGTCCGGAAACGCAATAAACTCTCAACGACAAAAAGGATCCCTGGAATCGTTTGTTGTTGTCTGCATGCTTCAAGAGCAGAGGCAGGGAATGAGCAGAGAGGAACTCTGTCTGTTCGAAAGCAGCGGCACTGCAGAAAGAGCACATAATAGTCTTATATTATGACTTCTAACAGTATACTAATATTAGAGCATAAATATACTATTTTCGGAATGCCTTGTCGTAGAGAGACTCACCAAGCCCACTCAGGAGGCTTCTGCCGTGACAGAGAGTACTTCTACTGTACTATTGTACTTTTGC